TAGATGGTGAATAAATTAATTAAGGCCAAAAATATTTGTTTAAATGGTGAATCAACCAGCTGGTCCAGTCTATATGTACCCTTCATTTTAATAGATTTGCATTTTTCAACTACTTCTACATGATATTTGAGCCTTAGAAAAATTTTACTTCTTGGCGCCGGCAGGTGACATGGTGGTTGAGGTGCTGGATTCTCACATGGCTGACACGATTCAAGTCCTGAACCTAGTGACTTGCTTTCTTGCTCTCCCTTTCTGTCTGTCCCTAGTCAAAATTGAAGAATAATGATAATAAATAAAAATTAAATCTTGGGAAAAAAATTTACTTCTCCACTATGTTTCATCTGATTTTTTTTTTTTTAGAGACTTTTACTATAGGGCATGTGTGTGTGCTGGAAAGACAGACAGAAAGTGAGAAATCAAACCCCCCCCCCAACCTCCCAGGGGAGATGAACACACTGTAGACAGAAAGTGAGAAATCACCCCCCCCACAACCTCCCAGGGGAGATGAACACACTGCAATCCCTTCTTGATTCTCCTCTCAGGATTTTGGGCATGCATGTACATGTGCCCTGCATGAGTTTCAAGCCACCAGGGCTGGGACTTGAACTGCAATTAACTACGTGGGAGTCCACCTGCTGGCCCCAGATTCATCTGATTTTGATGATGGAGTCTAAAGAAGGTGTTTTAAGTTATTTATTTTTTTTTTTAAGAGAGATTTTGCTATAGGGTGCATGTGCTTGCTGAAGAAAGAGAGAGACAGAAATTGAGAAATCACCCCCTTCAGGGAGGATGACCACAGTGCAGTACCTTCTCTATTCTCCTCTTGGGATCTTGGGCACACATGCACAAGTGCCCTGCATGAATTTTAAGCCTCCAAGTCCGGGACTCAAACCGTGATCAACTATGTGGGAGTCTAGCGATGTAATCATTATGCTATCTGCTAGTCCTGATGTTTTTAGTTTTAATAAAAGTATTATTTGACTCCTAAAATGGGATGTTAAGGTTGTAAAAGTAACTTTCAAGCTTAAATAGTATAATCATTAACTACCATTGCTTCAGGCTTTAATGCAAGTTTATGTGAAGTTGCTGTTCTTTATAGGAATTGTAATTGATGGTAAAGTGACTATAAAATGATAGCTGGTTAGAAGGAAATTCCAGTGTAAGTTTTGGCTGTGGAGTTTGCCACTGTAGGCAATGAGAACTCATTCTATTAGCACTGCTGAGAAGCATATGGGTGCTTCCCAGAAATTGTCTCGTATTATCCTATTTCTAACCTGCAATTTTCTTTCTCTCTCTTTTTTTAAACACTGATTATGATTATCTTTATTAACATATACTATTTTCATGCATTTAATCATTGTAATGTTTGATACAGTTCAAATAAACTAACATTCAGGCCTCCATGAGAGAAAAATGAAATTACCTTTTTATATAATCAGCTAAATTCTTTTCTAAGAGTAAAAAGTTAATATTTTCTAAATTTCTAATGGTTTTGTCATTCCAATCATATGTATATTACTTAAGCTACAGGACTGCCCATTTGTCTTTCCTATCAGAGAGCTATTGATCTCTTGTACCGCTTTTCCTCAGCTCCAGCTTTCTCAATAAACAAATGTGGACGGGCCAAAAAATTGTCAGTTTGGTACTTGACAGCAGTAGGGATGCTGCTAGGGTCTATCTCTTTCTCAGCACTGGGCGGGCCAGCAACTGCTGATGCTGGTCTGGATACTGAAGCTGCATGTTTCACTTCACTAGGTTCTACTGCCCTTTTGACTTCTTTACTTGATCTGAATGTCTGCTGAACAAAAGAATCATTTTCAATAGCTTCAGTTTCTTTTACTCTTTTCACTTGTTCTACCAGGGTGGCTTGGCCTCCTCTTTTCTTCTCTTTGCTTCTTCCTCATTTCTTTCTTTGGCTTTTAATGCTTCATCGGTTTTTGGAGCAGCTTTGAGAACCAGCTGTAGCCTGGCTTTGGCCTGTTCGGCTGGCGGCAGATGTTCTAATCCAGCTCTGATGTTTCCAGATTCCCCACGTTTGATGTTCCGTAATTCTTTGTCCTTGCCTTTTATCCTTCTCCTGTTCTCTTTTCCCTTTGTCTCTGCCTTTATGCCGTCCTCTCTCCTGACAGTGACTACAGGTTCTCCTGTGACTTGATCTCTCACTGCTTCGACTATGGGAACATGGATGAGGTCTTGACCTGGACCTCTTGTTCTGCTTTTTGATCTAGATCTGTGAACTCTATAGAATTTCCCTCAACCCCTTGAAGGACTTCGACTTTGCTTTCTTCTAGAGCCATAAGAACTACTGCTTGATCGCTGCCTGCGTCTTCTATCCTAAGAATGTGGACGAGGCTGGAGATCTCTGGACCAAGAGTCTGACTTTGATTTTGATTTCCTTCAGCTATGTGTTCTATTACCTGAAGAACTGCTTGAAGATGACATCTGTGGTGTTTCATTTTTCTCTTGCTTCTACTTTCTTCTTCAGTATCAGATGACTAGTGTCCCATTTCTATAAGCTGGGTCTGGACCTTCGGTCTCACAACTCTCACTGATGTATGAGCACCATGGATCTGGAAACGTTCCTTCAGATCAGGGTGCCACCAGCGTCCTCTGAACTTGCTTCAGTTTAAGCTCAGTGTCTCTCCCTCTGTTTTCTCACTCATAGAATAAATAAATAAACCAACTTATTAAAAAAAAGCCTCATTGACATGACTAGCAAAAGCTTTCCCTAAGGAAAGTTAAGACGAACCTTAACATTAATATACTTACTATTACTAATATGTAACTGAAGGCATTCTTCATTCAATAAGTGGCTGAGGGGGATAAGACAATCGAAACTTGAATGGAACTTTGATCATGATTAAATCTACAAGAGAATGCAAAAAATACTGTCTCTTTTCTTCCAGGTCAAGTCTTTTGATGTTGGGGAGGCTGAAAGTACAGGTAAAGAAAAGAGATGGTGACGGAAAATAAGGTTTCCTAGTGTGGAAGTCTGTAGGCTTTAGCTTTATTTAACAACAAAAAAAATAACCATGTGATCCAGCTTGGGTGACACAGCAGTAGCACAATACTCCGCAGCGCTGGAAGCTATATGGAGGACTGGGGTTTGGTTTGCAGGTCAGCCTGTGCATGCTGGGGGCATACAAGCCCATGACTCCTGGCTGGCTGGGGAAGGCTGATTGGGTGATTGCATGAGACCCTGCTGAGGGTGCTTATCTCTCTCTCTCTCAGGAAATAAATAAATAAACTAGTATAAAATAATCACATAACATCAACTCTATAAAATTACTTTATTTCAAATGTGAAAATATAAAAACCACTTACATATAAAATTTAAGATTGTTGCAGCATCCAAACTTTATAATGTACTTCAATTTCTATGTGTAAATAATGTAGTTAAATGTACATTATCTAATGTATAAATAATGTACTTAAATATACAATATTTAATGTACATTCATAATGTACTCAAATTTGAGACAATGTTCATAGCCAATCTCAATATAATGAAAGCTAATTCACAAGAGGATTAAAATGCAAGGAAAAAAATACATTCTGTCACTAATAAAAAGCATTTAATTGGGGCTGGCACGTGGTGTGGTGGCTGAGGACACTGGACTCCCATGTGGCCGACCATGGTTTGAGTCCTGGACCTGGTGGCTTGCTTTTTCACTTTCCATCTCTCTCGTTTTGTCCTTCTCTGGTAAAATTAAAATCAACAAAACAAAATAAAGTAATAATAATAATAAAGGCATTTAACTGTGGGGTTCAGTGCTGTAGATGCCCAATCCCCTCTCCACTCCAAAGCAGGATTACTCAGAAACAAATACAAGCTTCTTATTGTTGGCAATGGCTGGGGAAATAGAGGGATGACCCATTTCTGCTCCATAAGACATGAGACACCAGGAGAGGTTTGCTGGGAGAACCTCTCAGGAAGAGCTTCAAGTCTGTGAAGGAGACACAGAAAACCCTGCTCACTGTCCTCTGGCTGCTATCAGGTCTAAATGGATCTGGAGCCGCTGTGGCCATCCTGCTGTGAGCCAGAGAATGAAGCTAACACTAAAGATGGCGGAGCAGGTGAAAGAACTTGGGTCCTTGTGGATGTTATGAGCTGCTGGAGACTACCCTGCTTGAACTTATATGTGAAATTGTACATTTCCTTATTATTATTATTTTTTATTTAATTTGCCAGAGGTTGCAGGCACTCTCCAGAGAGAGACAGAGAGGCAGAGAGAAAGAGAGAGAAAGGCAGAAAGCACCACTCAATGGAGCATTGTCATACTGCAACCCCTTCTTCTCCACCACTCCATCCTGTCAGGATTTGGGGCAGGCACACACATGTGCTTTCCATGTTTTCAAGCCACCAGGGCTGAACTCCAAAGCATGGGTGGCCATGTGGGATCTGGCTTCCTAAACCACCAGGCCATGGTACCAGCCCTGCTTATTGTTGAAGAAAAATTTGAATAGGGGTTTTCTGTTACTTGCAGCCAAAACTTTTCCAACCGAAACAAGAACTAAAAGTAGAGAAGTAAACATTAACGGACTGTTAGAATGTTTTCTAAAAATTTTTTTTTGATAAATCTATTTCATTTACAGTCACTTTAAATTTATTTTTTTGGAGAGGTTTTTGCTATAGGGTGCTTACCTCCCCCCACCTGTCCTCTCACATATTATTGCTGGCAAAGACAAATACAACCGAGAGAAGAGAGGCAGCAGCCCATTCAAGCTGTCTGTCAGGGCACAAATCAATAGTTTCTCTTTCACAACCAGTTTCAAGGTCATGGCAGTCAACTTTCTCTGATGGAAGCCTGGAGAGATTGCACACAAAGGAAAGATTTCGACAATCTTCTAATAACTTTTTAAAAATGAAAACAACTAATGCAGTTTTAAAAAACTAATATCTTTTACTTACTTGCCTTCTGGCCATATTGGGAGCATTCAAATACATTTTTAATGGCCTTAAATAAAAATAGTACATGCAAAGTGCTAAGCGTTGTGTTTGGCACAAGGTATTATTAGCTGTTATTATTAGCAGTGTTCTACTTAGATCAAAACGCTGTGCTCAATTTAGCACTGCTAGTGACCCCGTGTCTCTGAAGCTCTCACTGGCTGATGTGTACATTATCTGCTTGTCTTCCTATGGCTTGACTGTCCTCTACTATTCTCCTTTCCCTGGAAAAATTCAATCCCAAGGCTAGTGCATGCTTTTCCCTTTTAGGTACAAGCCGCAGCTTTGGCATTTCTTATCACAAAAAACCCGAATGAGAAAGCTGGCAGACCCAGGGAACTTCCTGGGCGGAGAGTTTTTTCTGTCAATGCTGGCAGGGTGTGATCATCCACCATCTTCAGAGTTCGACCATTGAGTTGGACGGATCTGCAGGGGAAAGACATGCTGAGTAAGCCAAATCGTGCCTGCCTAGTACCCGCTGCAAAGCTGCGAAATCTTTTTCAGACCAAACAAACAAACAAAAAAACTTTCTCTTGTCTGCCTTTAGAACTTGTATTTTAACTTATCAATTAGGTATTTGAGCTAGATGATCTTTAAGCTACAATGGTAGAGTTGAGTAGCTATGACAGAGACCATGTGACTTGCAAAGTCTCAAATACTGACCATCTGACCTTTTACAGAGTATGGGACACACACAATCTATACTCTGCAATGACAGGAGTACAGAAAGGCAGTCATATTGATGGAAAATAATTGAAAGTCTCTCTTTCTCTATTTTTTTAAAAGGTTTTGCCATAAGATACATATTTTTGCCAGAGAAAGAGAGAAGGTAAGAATCAATCCCCAGGAGGGATGGCCACACTGCAATCCCTTCTCCTCCATTCTCCTCTCAGGATTTTGGGCACACACACACACACACCTCCTATGTCATTTTCAAGCCGCTTGGTTCAGGGCTCAAGCGCAGTGAGCCAAGTGGGAATCCAATGCCTTAACCACCATGCCACCTGCTGGCCCCAAAAGTCTTTTTATATTTGGCAGATAGAGATATATATGGAATAAAATGTATATTTCATAATTTTCACATAAAAAAAATGACAGTCAGTGAAAATCTCCACTTGTAACTGTGCCCATATATGGTCTAACTCTTCTTCTCCTTGGCCCTATAGGTATGCATTCATTTTGTGCTGTTAGTTAAGACATGCTAGTGAAAGTATATTGCCATTGTGAAAGAAAAACAATTTTGTTAGGTTAAATCACAGAGAAATGTATGAATTGTATGAAATGTATGAATTCACCATCTTCATATTTCACTGTTAGAATTCAAATTCAAAACTGAGTCAAAAAAATGAAAAAAAGGTAGCACAACTGGATCTGTATGGGAGGGTCCTGGGTTCAAGTCTTGGGGCCTCCCTGTACAGATGGGCACATGCTTGTGATTTGGGATGGTTGGACTGGGGGTCAATTGTGATATGGGAACCTTATCTGTTTCTGTCTCTCTTTGAGGGAGGAAATACATAAATAAACTTAAAAAATTTTAGAAATTAAGGATAAATATAATTTCTTACAAAAATTTATAATTACTTAAACAAAATTAACACATGTTTACAGTGACAAATCCAATATAGACAAAAGTGTATGAAGAAAAGTTTTAGTCTGCTTTAGTTCATTGATAGTTCTTTCATAATCCTAATGGTATTTCTCTTTTTCTCAAATAGTTTTATATTATGAAAAATGTTAGCACTTTCTTATTGTTGAAAACTTATATTAGTTAATGTCAGAATTATAGTTGTCATATAGGTGACACATGTAATATATGTAGATTAGGGCCTTGTATAAAGTAAACATCTATAAAATATTATCATCATCATCATCGTTAATAAGATAAATAAAGGAACAAAAGTATACATATACATATGTATATATGTGTATATATATGTGTGTATGTATATATCTGTGTGTGTGTGTATATATATATATATATATATATATATACACATACACACTTTTTTCTTAAACAAAAACCATACATATTTTCTTAGGTAATATTTATTTAATTTTATTTATTATTTATTATTTATCATTATTTTTAAAGTAGCTGTAGGGTACCTGCACCCATCAGAGAGAGAGAGAAAAAGAGAAAGAGAAAGAGAGAGGGAAAGCAAGAAAGCAAGCTGCCAGGTCTGGGACTTGAACCGTGGTCAGCCATGCGTGAGTCCAGTGCCTCAGCTACTATGCCTCCTGCTGGCCCTCGTACATATTTTCTTAAAGTGTGATTATTTTCCCTTAACACATTCTCACATTTGCTCACACCATTTAATAAGCATCCACTACATCCCTTCGACTGCTGCACAGGATTCCACAGCAGGACTATATTATTTTATTTACTTCATCCTCTAATGTTACATGTTTTGTTTCCACGCAGCACTATTATAGATTTTTCATTTGTGAAGCTCTCTTGCACCCTGTGGTCACTAAGCATCAGTGAGCAGAAAAACTCATTTCCAGTGAACCTTTCTTAGATGCTCAGCTCTGGGTTCTTGAACTTAAGATGTATCAGTTACATGCCCATGATTGTGCCAGAGGCTAGCAAGCCTGCTCTGCACTGTGCTCAGTCCACTGGTATTGCTTTTAGTCCAATGCTGGTATCACATCAGTTTTCAGATGGTGTGGGAGGGAAATGTCATAACCATCATCAGGAAACCACAAACAAAAATAGGTCTTGAAAACATCTCTGTATGACAGTAGTAAGGCTCTGTTCTACATGAAATGAAAGACCTTGCGAGTGTGCTGCACACCCAAAGGTTTTTCACAAATGCTTCTGGAAAAGGTATTTTGCTACAGAGTTGAAAGGGAAATCTGACCCTTGTGAATTAATATGTCTGTGAGTTAGAGGAACATAGCAAGATACTATGCCATCAGACTTTTATTGTTTAATCAGCTATAAATAGATTTAAAAATACATGATGCATACTGAACAGAAGTTAAAGTATGCTGATTATTTCCACATCAGGCAGGGCCCTGAGGGTGGGGTTTTATTTGAGGGTAGCGTCTTGCTTCATATTTTGAGTCAGTAATATAATAACAAATAGAAGACATGTGTGTTGAGTTTCAGATGAAATAAACCCAGAGGAATTAAGAATGAACAGGTTTGGCAGAATTGGGGATGCCAGGCAAAATCTACCTGAGATAAATATAAAATACTATTTTTTATATTAAAAGTAAGTTTACTCAAATATTTATTATCTGCTAGGTAAGACCCCCTAAAAAGGGATGATATAAATTGTTCAAATAAAAATATAAATTTTGAGGTGACCATTGTTTAAATGTCTGAGGTCCTTCATATGAGCAAGTATATAGACCATGCACTCATCAGACTTATCCAGGATAATTTTTGCAAAATTTTAAACAGAGAAGAGTCTAACTAATGTATACTCTAACTAATGTATACTTATCAAGGAGAATTTAGGGGAATAAAACATCATCCACAATTTCACCAATTTTCCAATGATAAAGCCTGACATACTTATTCTGGTAAACAACAAATGTATTGAAAGTGTGAGACGGATAAGTAGAATTACTTACTTGGCAAGTAATCCATCAGGTCCTAAAGGTTTTAGGAGGTATTTATCCACTTTCTTGTTAAATAAATAATACGGTAACTTCAAGTTCTTGGTGACGTTATGGAGGTTTAAGGCATACAGAGTTAAATCTCCTTCTTTATACCTTGGGCTAAAAGCAAATAAATGAACTCAATAAAAATATTTATCTATTTTAAGCAACTAAGAATTCAATTACTGGGGCCAGCAGGTGGTGTGCTGCTTAAGGGTGCTGAACTCCCACATGGCTAACCATGGTTCAAGTCCTGAACCTGATGGCTTGCTTTCTCACTTTCCTTCTCTCTCTCTTGCTCTGTCTCTCTCTGGTCAAATTAAAATAAGTAAACAAATAAAGTTAAATTAAGAAAAGAATTTGATTACTAATACAATCATGTATACTAAGTATGAGTATCTATAATGATGATGAACTCCCTTGATCTCCATTCTAAAAAGTTGTTAGACCTTTCTTTTCTTTTCTTTTCTTTTTTCTTTTCTTTTGAGAGGTTTTTGCTATAGGACGCGTGCACTTGCCAGAAAGACAGAGAGAGACAGAAAGCAAGAAATCAACCCCCAGGAGGGGATGGCCACACCACAATCCCTTCTCCTCCATTCTCCTCTCGGGATCTTGGGCACACAAGCACATGCACCTTGCATGAGTTTAAGGGTCCGAGACTCAAACCCTGGCCGACTACCTGGGAGTTCAGTGACATAGCCATTATGCTAACTGCTGGTCTCAATGTTAAACCATTCTTGTGGTCTTAAAAAAGCCAGGATCCTGGTGGGTTGGAGGACTAGAGGAAGAGATCACAGTGTGACCATGTGCTGGGGAGGGTGTCTTTCTCTCTTCTATGGATGCACACACACTCTATCAGTAATAAAATTTTTAAAAGAACTTATAAAAATAACTATATAGGGACCAGCATAATAGTTATGTTGCTGAACTCCCAATGGGCGACCATGGCTTGAGTATCGGACCCAGAGACTTGTAACTCACACTGGGCACATGTGTGTGCATACCCAAAATCTCAAGAGGAGAATGGAGGAGAAGGCATTGTGGTGTGGCCATCCCCGTGGGGCTGAGTTCTCACTTTCTGTCTCTCCAGGGGGTATAGGCATCCCATAGCAAAAATCTCTCTAAAAAAATAGATTTTATAAATCTTTGTATAATTTGCACTGCAAGTGTCAACATTTAATTTTTTTTTTTTTTAGTTAGACTCTAGAGTGTATTATATGAATAGAAAAGGCAAAACAGAACAAAAAAGAACAATGACATATCTTAGACCCACTGTGTGCATAGTTTACAACAGGACGTTAGAAGAGGAAGTAGTGTGCTTACCAGTTGAAGCGTGTTGATCAGGAAGGGGCATGTTTTATACTTACGGGCTAACGTTTGTGCAGTGAAGGTATACTCGAAGTTTATTTTTCTCTGGGCCTTTCACACTTGCCATTAACACCTTGGTGCCAACCAGTTTCTTGAATAGAAGAGACAGCCAATAATCCTAGTTATGGTGGTTGGGGAGGGGAGGGACAAAAATAGATGTTTATTTCTTATTAAACAAAATAGGGATAACAAATAGAATAAGAGGACAGCTTTTGCTTCTCTGCTTAAATTAAAATTTTTCACCAGAGACAAGAGTGGAATCAATGAAATGTTTGCAAAGGAGATACAGCGTTGGCTTGGTTCAGTGACTGGTAATGTTAAAAAGCAAGCAGGCCCCAGAGGCAGGATTTGAATGGTATTCTTTTTTTTTTTTTCTTTGTAGAGAGGTTTTTTGAGATAGGCTGTGTGTGTTTGCAGGAAAGACAGAGAAAAACAGAGAGACAGAAAATGAGTAATCATCCTCCCCACCCCCCAGAGGGGATGGCCACGCCACAATCCCTTCTCCTCCATTCGCCTCTCAGGATTTTGGGCATGCATGCACATGTGCCCAGCATGAGTTTTAAGCTGCAGATCTGGGACTCACATAGTGGCCAACTATGTGGGAGTCCAACCAACCTAACCATTAAGCCATCTGCTGATCGCTTGAATAGGATTCTTTTTTTTTTTTTTTTTTTGAGAGGCTTTTGCTATGGGGCGCGTGCGCTCGCCAGACAGGCAGAGAGAGACAGAAAGCAAGAAATCACCCCCCAGGGGGGATGGCCACGCCACAATCCCTTTTCTTCCATTCTCCTCTCGGGATCTTGGGCATGCATGCATATGTGCCCGGCGTGAGTTTAAGCCACTGGGTCCGGGACTTGAACTGCAGTCGACTACGTGGGAGTGCAGCGACATAGCCATTACGCTAACTGCTGGTCCCTTGAATGGGATTCTTTAGAGTGACATGGGATGAAAGTGTGGCTTCCAGCAAACCATATAACCTCTCTCCAATTTGAATTTGCTCATCTGAAAACTGAATCTTAGATATCTACCTTGCTACTTACAGGACTGCCTTGCAAGTCAAAGAAAGAAATTGGAATGTACAGTGGGTTTAAAGCTGATTTTCTGGGGTCCTACAGGTGTCAAGAGTATCATTTACTTTTGCAAGTTTTTCCAGCTGACTATGAACTTGGAGGAAGGAGCGTTTTTTTTTTTTTGCATTTACAAAGGCTCCTTTTCTTTTTTTTTCCTTAAGTTTTTGCCATAGGGTGTATACGCTCACCTTAGAGATGGAGGAAAAGTGAGGAGTCATTCCCCAGTGTGGAGTTTCAAGCTGAATCACAGCAGGCCATGTGGGAGTCCACTGCCTTAATCATCATGCCATCTGCCAGACCCCATAAAGGTTTTTTTTAAGTCAAAGGTTTATGTTTGGGCTCTGGGAAGATTTGGAAAACTTAGTAAATAGCTGATACTATTTATGAATAGTAATATGGAAAGCTGGCTAATTTCTAGACTTGGTAGTCATTGTGAATTTTGCAGAATTTATTTATTTACTTTCCTTGTACAAAGACCATTGGGGCCAGCAGTTAGCGTAATGGCTATGTCGCCGACCGTGGTTCGAGTCCCAGACCCGGTGGCTTAAACTCATGCCAGGCGTGTGTGCGTGCGTGCCCAAGATCCCGAGAGGAGAATGGAGGAGAAGGGATTGCGGCGTGGCCATCCCCCCTGGGGGGTGATTTCTCGCTTTCTGTCTCTCTGTCTTTCTCTGTCTGTCTGGCGAGGGCACGCGCCCTACAGTGAAAATCTCTCAAAAAAAAAAAAATAAGACCACTTAAGAAAGGGCCATAAATACATTGGGATGTTTGTCTAATTAAATTACCATGCTTGGTTTAACTTTACAGATGCCACAATATGGGGGAAAGATAAAGTCCATGTTTTTTGCAAGGTCACTTTTCAAAGAATTTTCCAGAAAAGTAATGAGCAGTGTGCTCCATAAGCTTGGACCATGACAAATATAAAGCAATTTGTTGGGAAATCTATCCACAAACCACAAAAGCCTAGCTTACATTTTGTCATACGGTCTTTGCAAAAATTTCCCACTTTGCCTACAACATTCAAATAATTCCCTTAGGAATTACTCTTGGAAAAAATCTCCTCATGACCAGCAGTTGGCATAATGGCTATGTCACTAGACTCCCACGTAGTTGACTGTGGTTTGAGTCCCGGACCCAGTGGCTTAAACTCAAGCCAGGCGTGTATGTGTGTGTGTCCAAGATCCCGAGAGGAGAATGGAGAAGGGATTGCAGTGTGGCCATCCCCCC